GCAGAGGGTTTACAGGGCAGACAGAGGAGAGAAGCAGCGGCTGGGGAGCGAGGTGATACTGCCTGCTCAGTGCAGGAACAGAGAGGTTTGAAGAGAAAAGAAGGCCTGAAACAGACCTCTTGACTCAGGACGTCAAGCCTAGAGAAACTCAGCAGGCTCCCCAGCAGTGGTGTGTGCCCACCAGAGACTTAGCCCCATAACTTAAGATGAAGCCCTGCCAATGATGGACTTTTCCTCTAACAATGTTCAGCTGCTTGGCTGCAGCACAAAGAAGGCAAGTGGTTGGCCGGGTTTGGCAAGGGTGGGGTTTTAGTCCAGCAGAAGGCCAGTGGAGACAGGAAGCTGAGAATGTGTGGAAGGCAAGGCTCATGATGGCAGAGTGTGGTTCTTCAGTTGGGCAAGGTGAATGTGGGATGGAGGGCTGAAGGAAAGCCAGGAGTTGGTACTGTCTGGATCAGAGGTCTTGGTGGCAGTCACGGAGCCATGGCCACGGAGCCATGTTGCCAAAGTGAACTAGGAGGTCAGCAGACAAGTTGTTGAAACTGGCAAGTCAGAGAGGTACAATTTCTGGCACTAAAGTCTGGGGCACATCCATGAGTGGATGATGGAAGAGGAATTGAAGGAAAAGGTTGTTAGTGGATGAGGAAGATACAGAGCCCAGAGAATAACAGCAGTAACCAAAACAGGCTCAGAGGCTAAGCCATGGAATGGAAGCTTCGCCAAGGGATGACAGCCATCAGGAGGGCTACAGCCACTGGTGTGAGCCTCAAAAAACTGGGTTTTCAACACAAGAGACATGGCGAGCAGGAATGAGGAAGGAGCAAGAAGACACCAACCCTACTAGTGGCCCTGAGGTACTTGGGAAGTGAATGAGGAAACCTCCTCCTCTGGAGAAGCCTGCAGGGCAGGGAGTCTCCGGGACAGCAAGGCTTGGAGAAGGCCAGTTAATGGAGGAAACGTTCAGAAGAGCAGGGTCTGCAGACCAACACTGGCAACTTAAAAGGGCTCAAGTAAAAAGACAAAAACAATTCCTCCACTCTGACAACCAACTCCGATCTTTTAACTCAAATCTCTGCTGTTTCTCGGTAGCTCCTGAGGAGGAAGAAGTGGTGTTGCTATGGCTGAAGGGTCACCTGAGTGAGGGCATCTGAGCCTGATGGGAGAAATGGAGGTGTGTACTGGCAGGCAAGGGACATCCACTGGAAGTAGCCACCACCAGCCTTCAGCAATTCTTCACTGTGTCCTGCTCTGTACCCACTGCTATAGTTGCAGTGGGACAGCAGGAAACAGGAAGCAGAAAGCAGAAAGCGCCTGCTTTGAGTTCAGCGTCTCATGAAAGCAGACAATCATATAATTCTGAAAATTTACAACCATAGAAAGTGCAAAAGGGCAGGGTGCAGTGGCTCGTACCTGGAATCCCAACACTTTGGGAGCCAGAGGTTAACGAATCACCAGAGGTCAGGAGTTCAAGACCGGCCTGGCCAACATGGCGAAACTCTGTCTCTACTAAAAGTACAAAAATTAGCTGGGTGTGGTGGCACACAGCTGTAGGCCCAGCTACTCAGGAGGCTGAGGCACAAGAATTGTTCAAACCTGGGAGGTAGAGGTTGCAGTGAGCCAAGACAGCGCCACTGCATTCCGGCCTGGGCAACAGAGCAAAACTCTGTCTCAAAAAGAAAGAAAGTGGACTGGGCAGCCAGGTGCGATGGCTCACACCTGTAATCCCAGCACTTTGGGAGGCTGAGGTGGGCGGATCACGAGGTCAGGGGTTCGAGACCAGCCTGACCAACATGGTGAAACCCCATCTCTTCTTAAAAATACAACAATTAGCTGAGCATGGTGGTGCGCACCTGCAATCTCAGCTACTTGGGAGGCTGAGGCAGGAGAATTGCTTGAACCAAGGAGGCAGAAGTTGTGGTGAGCTGGGAGCACGCCATTGCATTCCAGCCTGGGCAACAGAGTGAAACTCTGTCTCAAAAAAAAAAAAAAAAAGAAAGAAAGAAAGTGGGCCAGGTGTGGTGGCTCACGCCTGTATTCCCAGCACCTTGGAAGGTTGAGACAGGCAGATCACGAGGTCAAGAGATTGAGACCATCCTAAAATGGCAGAAACTCTATCTCTACTAAAAATGCA